AATCTGGAAAAGTCCACACACACTCATGGACTGGGGAGAAGTTCATGTGCACCCATACCTCCTTGCTGAACTATCAGCAGTTGATAGATTCTGAGGTAAGATTAGTCATTCACTCCAGGTATATACCAAAGGATAGGTTTAAGGTATACAGAGGAGAGTGCAAACAGATGACCACATAGGTGACCTTGGTTAGAATCAAAGGGTCACAAAAGAAAACAAAAAGGTGTGAATGTGAGAAAGGGACCAGCAGGAAGGATGCAGGGCTATCAGAGATGTGGGAGATTAAAAGGGGGTAGTAAGGATAAGCAGACTTTGGTACACATGTACGGAATTGTGAAGTAATACATCTAATCAATTAAAAGAGAATTGTTGATGGAAGGAATTCTTACTATTTCTTGAAAAACTTATCATATTTTTTTCTTGGTGTTGAGAAAGTGTTTGAAAACAGTTATATTAAGGCTGTGGAGCACGTTTCTTAGAAAAGTCTTGGTTGCAAATAAAAGCATAAACCTGTCAGAGATTGAAAGGAGACAGTCAAGGTGCTGGGCAATGACATTCCCAGAGTCAGAAATTTGCGTGCATTTCTCGCTGTCTGTTGTGTTAAGGAATCAGGAAATGAGATTCATCATAATGTCACTGCTCTGAATGTGGAGAGATGTGTTTCCTATCTTATGGACACTAACTTAGCTTAGCTATCTGAAGGGCCCACGTTGCCAAGCTTTTAGAAATTGTATCCAGGTATTCGACAATGCTCTAAAGTGTGAGAACACTTTGTTCTCTATAGGTGAGAGACAGAGAATTTTGATAGTACTGTAGAGTTCATATGTTTTTATTCTATAAATGTGAAATTCTGAAAGTAAGGAAAACTACACCCTGATTTCTTCCTCATAAGGCAAAAACTGCAATTAGCTGTTCTGGACTGGAACAGTTGTAGGATTAATCAGTAACATAGTCGTTTGAAACAAGGCACAGTTTGTGATTTTTCTAGACTAACATGCTACTGTCTTTTGTAATACAGCAGATAATATATAATTTTTTCAGGTCATGAAGAATTCATAAAATTTATACTTTCATTTATCATGATCAATTAAATTTATCATAATTAAGTTTATCATAATATAATTTATCATAATTCAATAATATAAAGTAAAACAGTAAAGGAGAGTTGACAATGCCATTGTGAGACAGGTTTTATAGTCTATATCTGCATTATCAGAATGAATCATCGAAGCTTAATATCCACATACTGCAGGATGGCTAGACATAAATTGTTTGCCTAACTGAATTCAAAGAGCAAATCACACACTTGATAATACGGGGGTACGAATCAGTACAATGCATATTGAATGAGTTACATTGTATTGGACAACAAATGGGTAGTATATCAGGACAATATTAGTAGGCTTACTATCTTATTACTGATTTCACAATCTTACAATAAAATTCTCGCTCCCCAGAGGGCAACATCAAGGTGATATACACTTATGAGGCATGTGGTTTGCATACTGACATACTATTTTATTCTTAACTCCTCTATGATAGGATTTGTTGATGGTAATAACTTTTTTTCAATGAAAACAGAGTCAGAGTTAAATTGAGGAACTGGAGTGCTCTAAATACTATTTAACCTAAGATTTCTCTGTGGTATAGAATCTGACTATTTATGTTATCTTAACTTTAAGAAATTATCACAATGTACAGATTATAAAATGTGAGACAGAAAAGAAATTGATGAGAGAGAGAGGCAGACAGACAGAGAGAGAGAGACACACACACACACACACAGAGACAGAGAGACAGAAAGAGAGAAAGAGAGACAGAGAGAATACCGAACAGTGACTCTGCCCAACTCAGGTTTACCAAGAACCTCAGTCTGTGAACTTACTTGGAGGCTTAAAGATATATTTCTGGGAGAATCTCAAGATTAAATCTTTCAGTATCCATTCTGGCTTTAATTATCCCAGGCGCTGAATCAAATTCTGTTGTGTTTGTTAAAGTAACGGGTAGATAAGAAATTTTTTTCTTAGGATTGAAAAGCAGGACATTGGGGATTGGCACGATGCTGTTGTAAGCTACAGAAAGATAGAGCCCCTGGACGTGGCAAGACACTGGGTAGCCTCCCCCTATAATGTGTAGAGGGTGATCCTGCTGATAAATTCACCTCCAAAGTCTGACCCGTATAATGAAAAGACACTGAATTTCTGTTAAACACTGAGTTTGTGATAATCTATTATAGCCCTAGAAACTGAGAACCGATACATCATAGAAATCATTTTACTCGATGAAGCTGAGGAATTGTTGTTAATACAGGAGATGAAAAAGAATAATGGGTTCCAGTTTAAAATGAGACAAATGTATTGCTTGTACAAAATTGTGAGATTATACATTTGGGTAATGTTTCTCCACATACTTGTGTACCCATAAAATGCATCATCCAAAGGACTACAGTTAACAAATGTTAAATAAGCATGGCCAAAGGAATTATGAAATAATAACATTGGCTTAGTGATACACAAAAATTGCTAACATTCATTAGGATCAATATTGCTTTAAGGATTATTGACTAGATAGAGAGGCAGGCAGATTAAATATAACAAGTAAAGGGAATGCAGAGAGTGCTTCGTGGTTAAGAACACTTGCTGCTCTTGCAGAAGACCAAGGTTTGGTTCCCAGCATTAAGTCTCAACTAACTGAATTACAGTCCCAGGGCTTCCTATGCTCTCCTCTGACTTCTGTAAGCACTACACATGGGGTACACACACATACAGGTAAATGCACACACACACACACACACCACATTCATACATACACACACACCAACACATATCACACAGGCATACACACCACACATGTACACACACATACATACACATACAAACATATACCACACACACCACATACATACATACACATATCACACATGCATACACACCACACATGTACACACACACATACATACACATACAAACATATATCCCACACACACACACACTACAAATAAACATAATCACACATCACATATGGGCACCACATACATATACACACAAATAAACATAAATGATTTAAAAGGAAATACAATAAATAATTTGCTTACCTGCTCTTTTTATTTTCATGGGCATATACTATAGATACATAAATAATATCTAGGAAAATATTTCTGTAGGTTAGCTATTATGTAGTAGTAACTCAATTGGAATTTAGACTTCATTTTAAAGAAGAGTATGGTGCACACAAACATACACAGATATAGGACTAAAAGATTTGGAAAGGTTAACTTTTATTCTTATGAAGTATTTCTCTTCCTACTAATTGATGTTTATTCTCTGGTAGCTTCTGCCAAACCCAGGTATTAAAATTGTTACACTGGACTAGTAAGATGGCTCAGAGGGTTAAGAAGACAGGCCTGACGACATGAACTCTGTCCTCAAAATCCACATTATAATGAAAAGTCTTTCCTGTGAGTGTCATGTGACCTTCACATGTGCTCTGTACCACACATGTGTCTTACTTATGGTTTTATTCCTATGAAGAGGCACCATGACTATGGCAACTCCTCTTTTTTCTTTTCTTCCTAATAAACAAAATAGTTAAAAACAAAAATATAACAAGCTTAAATGCCGAGAAGCAGTTAAATTAAACTTCTGCTGGAATTCAAGTATGTACATAAAGTACATGCCTCCTCACTGTGAGACACATGACTGTGTGTGTGTGTGTGTGTGTGTGTGTGTGTGTGTGTGTGTGTGTGTGTGTATTGTGTGTATGTCTGGGTGTGTAGAGGAGTGTGTATATGTGTGTGTGTGTCTGTATCTCTGTGTCTGTGTGTCTATTGTTTGTTTGTCTGGATGTGTAGAGGTGTGTGTGTGTGTGTGTGTGTGTGTGTGTGTGTGTGTGTAAAAACCAAGAGGACTTTGAGAAATGCAAAGCACTGTGGGGTTGAAGGAATGAACTTTTCATTATGCAGTCCCCAAGTGCTCTGACTCTTTTCCCCCTTTTTGCCTCTGCATCCTCTGTAGCTCCTGTTGAAGTTAAACTTGTCAGAACGCTAAGTCTCTCCTTCCGTGTCTTCAGCTTCTCATTATCCTCAGACTTTCTAGAGATGGAAAAGACATTCAAACCAAATCTCTGTGCTCTTTTCTTTAGTTTATCAAGGTTAACGATAGACTTGGGGTCAGATGATAAACCTTTGGTTGAAACTAAAGAAATTCCAGTCCTAGTTGCCCAAGCTGACTTCCTACTCTTCAAGCTTATAGGCACATTGACTTGTTCAGGTTTCTCATGCGTTCTCTTGGTGTGAGGTATTCCAGACAAAATTTTTCCCACCTCCTCCCTTTCTATCCCACATCAACAGCTTTTTCAGTAGTTTCTTCTCTTTAACAGGTAGTTTCCTCAGTATACATCGTCTTCATTTTCGTCCTCTTCAGCATGTTCTTCAAGACAGGCCTCAAGCCTATTAACAATATCTTGTTTTATTTAAGGCACTCTTACTTTAGTTCTGCAAGATCCAGCCTCTAGAGCTCCACGGTTTCACTGCACCTTCACAGTAACTCTTATAGAGAAAAACATTTAGTTGGGACTGGCTTACAGTTTCAGAGGTGCAGTCCGTTATGGTCATGGTGAAAAGCATGGTGGCATGCAGGCAGACGTAGTGCTAGAGAAGGAACTGAGAGTTCTACATTTTGATCAGCATCCAGCAAAATGTGGCTGTGTGCCACACTAAGCATAGCTTGAGCACATAAGACCACACATCCTCCGAGGCCTTCCCTACTCCCACAAGGCCATACCTCCTAATAGTGCCACTCCAGAAGGCCCAAGCATCTAAGCACATGGGTCTATAGGGGCCATTCCTATTCAAACGACCATAACATGTGACCACAAATGCATACATACAGACACGTGAATTGATGTTTAATTAAACATTCAAGACTGAAAGACTCATTTCTCTTCTTTTAGCTAGTTTTAAATTTTACTCCAGTCTTTTCAAAAGTTTTTCATTTTAATATTCAAAGGTAGTTTCATAGCACTTCTCCACTGCCACAAATTATATAATCGAGTTTCCCATATTTGGGGAAATAACAGGGGGCATTATATCCAGAGTGCAATGAATAGGCCTTGTCCTGGGAAAACTACCTTTGTGATCATGGTACCTCCCTGGCCAGTTAAGTATCCCAATGCATTTTTTGGTTCCTTCATAAGCTTCTTTGTGTTATTTTTATTCGCTTGCCTGTTTGAGGTAAATTTTCATGCATCCCAGGTTATCCACTAACTCTAGATATAGCTGATACGGCCTTGAGTTTCCATAATTCCTATCTCTGCTTCCCCAATACAGGGATCATAGAATTGATCCACCTCTCCAGGTTTATGCTCTGTTACAGATCAAACTCGGAGATTCATACATGCTAGGAAAGCATTCTACCATCTGAACTATAGCCAAGATTTTTAATAAACACTTTAATTCACTACAAAAGCCTTTTTATTATTTCATTTTCCCTTTGTTAACTGACTAATTATCTTTTCATTTGCATCGTTTACTATAGAGATTATAATAATTTCCTTGTGCTATCTTAGTACAATTATATTAGTTTTATTTCCTATCCAATTATTATAAATTTTTGAATATTTAAATTTGGTAACCCTCGTATATGGTGCATCATTGTTTTAATTAATTTAGGGCAAGAAATAATAAAAATTTCCTTATGTTAATTTATTATGTTGCCCTAGGAAACTAACACATAGCAAATTTTTATTCCATGCAATTCTATTATCACTGTTTTATTCAGTGAGTATGCATTTATTTATACTTCTAACCATTTTCATTTTATCTTGTAATTTTATGATTTTTCTGGAACAATTGTCATTATTTTTGTGATTTTTTTAGTGGTTTTAGTTCATGTTTCTATACTGACCTTTCCAATAATATTTTACAGATGTATACTTATTTTTATTTACTATTTGAAAGACAAAGACACCAGGTATATAACTCTAAGCTGAAAAAAATTTTAGCTTAAATATGTGATGCAATTATATTCATCCTACTAATCACTAAGAAATCATTTGAAAGTCATGAATATTTTAAAAATATTTGAAACCTTTGATTTTTCTTGTCTCTGTAAAATCCTTGTGTAATATGTGATATTTGTAAATTTCATTCAATTATTTTGATTTCTCAACAGTTGTACTATGCTTTAAGTATACATCAAATCCAATCCACAAACTAATTCCAGCTACAAATTAAAAAGAAATCTCTGTGTTAATTCCATTTATAAGGTTACAGTAAAAGGTTCTATTTAGAAGGTTACATTTTAAGTAAGGTAATGAATAATATGAAAATAAAATATGCAGTTATATGCATGTATTTTATGAAAGGACAAAAATTTTAGGATATTCTTGTAAGTAGGAAGAATATTAAAGAGTATTAACCCTGGGAGAAAGTATAAGCAACAGAAATGTAAAGAAATTGGTAGAAATGTTTTAACTTATTGATTCAGCTATGTTTTTTTAATTAGATGACAATCATAGATTTTCCTTTTTTCATTGTCTAAATTTTAAAGGCTTGGAATATATTTATGAGATAAAATATCTATTATTTCTTGTGGATTAGATGTGGAGGGGCATGATAGATATATATTATAGATAGAGATAGATGATAGGTAAATATATAATAGATGAGAAATAGATTTCATAATTTGTGACTTTCAAAAGAAATCAAGGATCTCAAATGTATAAATATGATTAATACAGTAAATGGGACAGGGTTCCTTCTGAAGGATTTTCATATAGAAAACTTGCTGAAGGAAATGTAGATACTGGTGATAACATCTATGGTATAACATGAAAGTAGAGCACTACGTGAAATTGGGTGAAAGACCAAAGATTTAGAAGTCAATTGTCTACGTAGGGTAATTATATGTACTGGAAGTTCAAAAAGAGTAGCCAACTTTATTTATGAGAAAAATGTTAGCGGATTCTAATATAGGGTTGAATAATACATGAGGATGGAAGGCCAAAAGTATGTAGAAAGGGTGGCAGTTTTGCATGTCTTGAATGCTTGTAATGATGCTATGCAACAGAAGAACCCAGGGGTGTGAACGCAGCATTAAACCCCAAGAATGCTGACCCACTTATTATGTAAAGTATATGTTAAAAGGAAAAAAGATTAAAAATAACTAAATGCAAGTGTATGTAATGCATTCTAATCTCTCACCCTCCACTCATTTGTATATCCCGGAATTCTGTCAGCCTTTCTCTTTGTGAAAAACTCTTGCCCATGTCTGTGCCATTTGCTTTGTTTTGGGATACACTGCAGTTTACCAGAACTTTCTATGTGGCCACGGACATGGAATTATCCAATGGAGGCTGGTAGATTCTTCAGATACTGACTCAACCTTCTGTAAAATCTTTTATTACCGATAGTTCAGCAAATATGGATAGGGTTCCATGAGTCATGCTCTATCTATGTCTGTTAATTCCAGTCTTATATAAGCCTAGTGTAACCACCTGAAGTGTTTGTGAATTCACAACTGTGATAGCTGTGTCATACTCATAAGATAGCATTCTGCTGCTTTTCTGCCTATAGTCTAGTTCCTATATTCTTTCTGCCTTTTATTTCATTTAATTGCCTGAGTCTTAGAATGTGTGTTATACATTTTATGTTTAGAGCTGAATGGTCAATAATCCATTTTCCTTATACTTTGAGTAGCTAAGACTCTTTGGAACACTATTATTCATTATAGACAAGCTTCACTAATTAAATCCTATAGTAGTATGTCTATGGGCTTAAACCAGGTTTCTGAAAGACAGTTTAACACTGTGTCAATTTAGTTAAATGAAAATATTAAGCTCCATGCTAGGGCTTATAACCTCCTCAGGCATGGGTTCTTGATTAGTTGTAGTACTAATGTCAAAATTCCTGCTGAAGAGCTGACCTGGAAAACAATCACAGAGAGGCTGTTGGCCCATTAACAATGTGTCACTGTTACAGCAGTGGGCACGCCATGCATGGTAGGTTGGTATTATAGTTCCAGTGTTTGTTTCTAGGTCAAACCACCAGTGCCTTTTCTTCACTAACAGCCTATACAGCATCTTCTGACACTGTGAAAGTAGACATGTGAGAAGAAGTTTCCATCTCAGTTCTAGGTTTCTTTCTTACAACAAAGCTGTATGACATCTTCAGTAATGCGGGGTTTTCATCTAATTCTGTTGGGCAGTCAAGAGAAATGGAAAGAACTTGTACTCTTTTGGGGGCTTAGGGGCCTCCCTTGACCAATAGCGTCTGTAGAAATGTTTCATATTTGGCCTTGATACTTTTAGAGTATAACTTTTTGCAAATCAAAGACTTTGTCCCTTTCAATTATTTACTCACAATTGGCATGGCCTTTCATGGTAATTAGGACAGCCTTGATCAAAGTAATTAATTTGCACGTCATGGAGCTGGAGGCCAATCTCTAGAAGAATAAGTTTAAGATGATATGACTTCATAGTTTGTTAATAATTGAAAGTGAAAATATTTTTCAGTTATTGAAAGTTATTCTGAATATTTTAGAAGAGAGAAAATTCTATAATCTCATACTCAGAGTGTAAAATAGTTTCTAGAGCACATAATTTTGGATTACTCTTAAAGTGTCCCAAAGTACCACTAAGCTTCTAAATACTGCAGTTGAAGTAGTTTTACACTTTTGCATCTCTATTTGGTCCTTATTACTTGCTTTTCTTTGTGAAGCTAATTTAACAGAAATGAACCCATATTTACACTTTCACATCTCTATTTGGGCCTTTATCCTTGCTTTTCTTTTTGAGGCTAATTTAACAAATTGAAGATAAATTTGAAAGAAATATTCTGATTTGCTCATTATACTTCCAAATCCACTAGGGAGCATCCAACAAACCTTTGTAAGGCTTTGCTCTGAGAGTGAAATGTATGTCACATATAAACAGTGCTCTGAGATGGTAATACCACTCAAGAGTCTGGTTATTGGAAATAATAAAGTCTCCAGGGAATAAAAATGCCCTCAGTTATATCTTGGGAACTGGAATATCTCAAGGCCATCATGTTGCCAGACTATTCAACCAATGATGCAAACTTATTTTAAATATCCCTTTTAGGGGTAATGTTAGGTTTATCTCACGTTCTTTAAATGAGAACATCAGCATTTGGCAAATAATACAGATGGCAATATTTATGGAACAAATAATTTCAAATTAGATGCAAAATTGTTATTCAGTGACATAACAGAAAGGAGCTAACTGCATGAAATCATTGATATATTGTTTAGTTTTTAAACTATGCACAAAGTATCGAATGAAAGAAACCAAAGCTGACTTGTGAAATTAATGAAACTATTATAGCACTGAGACCCTACCATAAAAATAAAGTGAATTATTATATTAGACACTAATTGGAGGTAGCCCTAACTGAGTCTACAACAATTAAATGATTAAAAGTTGAATACTGAAAATATCTGTACCCATAATTTATAAAAATCAAGTAAATAAATATCATGAGGGACAAAAATTATTATGTTGCATTCAGGAAGAAACAGATACTCTGAGTAGTCACATAGCTATCAAATATATGTCTGTGTTATAATTCTTTATTAAATGCACAAAAATGCAGATGACTTTGTTTCTAAATTTCGTTTATTTATCTCAATATTGAGATGTCTCTCGTGAGCTCAGCCCAGAGCTTTAGCCACCCAGATGCTGATTCCTACAGACCTGTGTCACGGTGCTGTACACAAAGTTTGTTTTTGAAAGAAATATAACAAATATGACTCACAAACAGACAAAGAATGAAGGCTTCTAAACTGAAATATGAGGTTAGCACTCTAATTCCAAAGTCAGACATTACAAGAACAAGAGTTATAAAGTCTGTCATCTTTCAGCATAAATGCAAAAATTCTCAACACATTAATGAATCAAGTGAGCACATACAGATATTAACCACACATAGGTTTAAATAGAAGTCAAACTCTATTAAAACTACCTTTTTAGTACAAAGTGTCCTCCAAATTTTCCTCCAAAATTAAGGAGGGGCATCAAAATATGCCAGTATATACTTCAAAGAAGAGAAGTCTCTAATTGAGAGTTACTATTTGAACAGAAGCTTGATTAAAGCTACCATTTAATTTAGTTAATTTATTTTGAGACAAGGACATGTTGTGTAACCAA